CACAGAAATTCTGTCTGTGGCCGATAGCATACGGCCCTCTAAAAAACGGTATTTTGATTCTGTTTAGACAAAAAGATTTATTGTATGCGCATTTTAGTGGTTTTCCGTATGTGTAAGGTGCAATGAGTCAATTTATCCCAAACAGTTTTTCAAAAAGACATAGCCCACAGAAGCTTTCCTGTGACTGATTATACAAACACCTTAAGCTCAGTATCATAAAAGATCAGCAGAAAAAATCATACTTAAGACTAACAGGAATAAATGAATATTTTTTTTAATGTTAATAGTATCGTTTATGAATTAATTAGATGAAAGTGGGGAAAATTAATAGAATTTACACATTATGTCGAACATCCTGAAAAGGTAATAGACAGATTTCAATGAAATTTGGTATGAATGTACACTTATAACAGAGAAAGAAATGTTCCCTTCAAAAGTCATTTTATGTACGCATGATTATCAGTGAAGCTCATAGTGCTGGGATAACCAAAATCCACGTTGTTATATTGAACTGAAAATGAGCCTAATATGGGGTATGGCTCACACAGCCCAAGAGGTCTCTGGGCGTGACGGCATACTGCATAGGAGGTAGTTGATGAGTCTCTGTGGCAATGTGCAGCAAGGTAAATTTGGACTCCGGGATGGTCGTTGGAGAGGAATAGGGAAATGAAATTGCCCTCCCAAGAACGCCCCAGGCTTATTTGATAGAGTTAAGGTCCAGAAAGCTGGCTGGCCAAACCATGCGGTGAATATCTTCATTTTGATTTTAATCGCCGACAAGCTGATCCCTATGTGAACAAGAGTTTTCGTCCATTAACAAGAACCCAGGACCAACTGCGGCTCTAAAAAGTCTCTAAGGCTCTAAGACTTCTCTATACTACTTAGCATTCAGGGAGACTTTATCAAACATATGCACGGGTATGACGCCGTTAAATATAATGTCTGCCATAATCATTGTACCGCCACTCCCGTAATGATCCTTTTCCATGATGTGGGAGAGACGGTGCCGTGTTCCAGGCTGTCTCTAGATGCAGGTACGGCGAGAATCAGTATCCAGGCTGAATTTCGATTCATCTGGTAAAAAGCTTAGTACTGCACTGAAGTTTCGTCCAAGATACATGTTGTCCGCGCCATGCTATACGCGCTGTTTTGTGTGCTGCAGTAAGCAGCGCTATCTCATTTGCGGCTTTCGAGAAACTGTAAGACCGCAAAACTCGGGTTCCAGTGGCTGCATGCAACTTACGTGAGAGCTGTAAAGCTATAGCAATCCTGTGACGCTCCGCTAAAAGTGCCAAATAACAATCGTCGTTGTGGATCTTGGTCAACCGTGTTCAGGTATTCTCAATAAGAACCCGGTATCTTGAAATTTTTTTCACAAATTGCAGACGATACAGGGCGTTACACTTGTTCTATAGCCAATTAGTTCATAATTCTTGGGTGGCATAATTAGCATCTTTGGTTCAATACTTTTCGTAAAAATAGACATAATTTGCAAATTGTGTTAATTTTGCACACGAGTGTAGTTGACACAACGTATATGAGGGCTGTTTGTGTGGAATTCGCACACAGAAACGCCCATATGATCTTTATCATGTAAAATAATTACGAATACATCCGTGTAATCAACGCATTTTGCCCCTGGGATTTGAAATCTGGGATAAATTTAACTAAATTGTTTTAAATTCTTAATGAAGAAGTTATAAAATTTTATATAACATTTTATCATTCCATAAATGATTATGATTATAAAACAAAGTACCAGTACATCTCTGTATAAAATAATTTTTACATATTAAGATAGAAATTTTATAGTATTTAAAGCACTTAGAACTATAAAATTCTATAGTTTTGTGGAAATTACCTGAAGAAGTTTAGCATTATCTTTTATTATCGTGCAAAATCTAAACCTAAATTGCTAGTGTAATCTGGATTCCTTGAGCATATAAATAGAAAAATATCTTGAATATACAAAACATGGTTATTGATTCAATACTCCTATAAAAAGAAAAAACGTAGGCTGATGTTTTCATAGAAGACTTGATGCCCCAAATATTTAAAGGTTTTTAGGTATAATAATTATAAAAGTCAATGAATTTTGTCAATTAACTTTTCAATTGCCACGTGCTAATACATTAGAGTTCTATTTATTTACAAACTCAGAGTATTTAAAAATGAAGAAATTTCACAGAAGTCTATAAAATAACAACCTACACCATAAAAAGCACTGAATAGAAATTATCAAACATTGCTGAATGCATGCTGATTGGAATTAAGTATGTGGAATGAAACTTTGAAGAATTCCTGGATTCCTTTCACAATTGAGATAAATACAACTACACAGTCACTAAAATAAATCCTTAAAATGAATTCAGAATCATAAAGGAAAAACATTTCTAAAGAAATTAGAAGAAAGCAAAGACTTCGCCTTTCTTTTCAGATAAAGATTAAGCGCTGCAAAGTCTAAAAAAATGACAAATTCTTTCCCTAAGGGCTGACAATATTGAATTAAATAATACTTGTACTCTGCTAACTATAAAGAGCCTAAAAAAAGTTAGCTAATTAAAAAAGAATTATACTCCTCCCCCCACCTAAATGTAATAAATATAGCTAAAAGTCGAACGAAATGCTTTTAGTACATAATATGCACATCAAAACTAAACTGCAGTAAAATAAATTTAATAATAATATTAATAGTACAAAAACTAACGTAAGTAAATGGAGTTAAGTTTCAATTAAACATCATAAATAAATTAAAAGCAATATCAGAAAGAAAAGTAATTACTATAATTTCAATCAATCCCTTAACTAATCTTAGTTAAGGTAATGTTCTGTAAAATAAATGAAATATAATATATATATAGTTTTATTTATTTTATTATGTTTATATTATTCGTTTTATATTTTTAAACATTTATATATATATATTTACTCACACACATACATACATACATATATTATACTATGTAATAAAATTAAAAAGAAAAGTCGGAACTAAAATGATAAATTATAATTTCTTCTTTATGAAGGTCCTAACCTATTCTTTCTCTCTGAAAGACGTAACCCAAAAGAAAAATCATTTTCATATTGTTAAAAAAATTGCTACTAGTTCATTTATGTGCGTAGAAGAGAAATAGTAATTAATACTCAGTCTTTCTTAGTAATAATTATTTTTTGTCATGTAATTTAATGCTTACTTTTTGGGTTGGTTTAAAACATTAAATATTTGCAATGTGACAAAAAATGTACTCACTTTTTTAATACCTTAAATATAAATCCAGTAATGATGTTTCATTTTCAGAGAGAGAATAGCAGTTTAGTATTTCTTTCCTTCCAGAACTTAGAAGTACTGAAAGTGTTACAGAGTAACACAGCAAAAATTAATGTGCTATCGGTTCTCAAACATAGGTCACAGATAACCACTCTGGAAAACCTAAGCATTACTATGATGAATTATCGTTTTTGCATTATCACGGAGAGCAAGCAAAAAGATATCCCACTTACGTCGAGTTCCAGGTGTTTTTAAACACCACATGCTATCTGTTGCATTATGTAATTTTGATTGGAAATCAGCTGATCATTTGTTGTTTAGTGCATGTAAACTCTTATTCTGAAAATTAATCTAATTAAAAAGTGGTCAAACTTCTCGGAATTCTTTGCTTCTTCTATAAGTTTACGATAGAGAAATTCGTCGTATAAGCAAATAAATAAATAAAAAATTTTTGTTCTCAGTTTACAGTACGAAAAGGTAATAAACTTTTCAAAAGCTGAATACACCCTAAGAGATAAAATCATCGGGAAGTAAATATTTAATTTCCATGTAATGATATGCACGCTTTTCATACAGTATAAATACGTTACAATACGAAATGATTTGATCACAAGCACAATAACAAAACCTCTTGTATCGCATTTCACACTGTATTTTTGGCAGACTATTTTTAAAATATATTATGAAAGAATTTATATAATTTACGAGCCAGTTCCCCTTAGAAAGTCCTCCACGAAGGCATCCCTCTCCTTAGGTAGATAGCCCTAGTGTGCTTTGCCATAATTAAATACACCACACCTTACTAACGTAACTTTTGTTAGCTTTACCTGTTATGGTGTAGAGTCATCAGGCTTTCTTATTTCGAAACAGGAAATGTAAAAATGGGGCAATGACCTTACCAGGACTCGAACACCAAACCTTCCGACTGCTAGACGGACATGCTTTCCAATTATACTACAAAGGCACACGGTAAGAAGACAGAAAAACCGAAGATAACAAGTAATAAAAATGTGTTGTCCTGTTACGGCGTATTGTGTTTTAGTAGCATTATTTTTAAAAGCAGAAGTGTCTAGTCTTCCCTGGAAATTTTCAGACAGCACATCTCTGGGTGCGAATAAAACGCGCGTATCACAAGGACAAACGTTATTACATTTTTTCCTACAACGACAATCGCAACTTCACTCGTTTTTTGCAAAGTGGCAAGTTTGCAACCTAATCCCTTTTCTTAAAACGAGGAATCATTTGTCGCACAGCACATGAATTTAATTGACCATCTACAAGGCCTACGAAGCACGTATATTCAAATGACGAAATTAGAGAACAGCAGTAACAAACTTGCAATTTTTTAATAATACAAACAGCTTCGCAAGCGAAGCATATTGGAACTATGCCGTAACTGTTAGTAGTGAACAATTCTGTTGAACAAAAACCCAGTGTCCATATTTTTAAACCCTCCTTGGCATCTTCAAAGTTGTGTAACATCCCAAATCCTCGTATTTAGTGTAAGAAAAACGCAAGGATTTGATATTGAATTTTGAAATCCTTTCCCCTAGGTAATATATCACCTTTACGCGAGATATGCTTAAAATCTAAGGGCCTATACAAGAGTTATGTTTTTCGCTACATTGTTCGCCGCAGCTTTCAAATCAATCGTTTAATGTATACGGCACTAAAAGTAAAATCTATGTTTTAAGATATACATTTTATTCGATTGTAAACTTTCAGTACTTACTTTACTGTAAGTCACTGTAAGACAGGCAGTGAAGCTGTTGGAGCTTTATAACTGCAGGGTATTACCATAATGTAAATATCAGTACATCATATTATTTATTGCCCTGAAATCTAAAAATTAAATAGGTTGTTATTGACATTTTTATTCATATCATCAGAATTCACGAAAAAATATAGAATTTTAAGAAGCATAAATAATTTAATGCGTAACGCAAAATGGAATCACTAATGGCATTAGCTACCTAATATACGTTTCTTTTCTTCTCAGTGGCGAATGTCATCAGAAAACCTGAGAGCTTTCCTTGTTAGTAAAACGGATGTTTTTTTTTTTTTTTTTTTTTTTTTTTTTTTTTTTTTTTTCCAGGGATGCCTGAACATTCAGAATAGTGTGTTATATTAAAAATTTCATTCAAACTTATTATCTCTGCATATTGCGAGATCATTATCGGTTGCTACATATAGTTCATATTCTGAACTTCCATTTTATAAATTAATGTCAGCCATTGCCTCTTAATGGCATACGTTGAGGTTGGACAAAGAACATTTTGCTAGAAAGAAGTCAAATTCATATAATTTGAACAGGTATCTGTTTCGCAATATCCAGTTATCAGGATTTCTCTCTAGCACATTGCATTAGATGACATATTAAATATCAAGTTATTCCGAATATCGACTTATTCTGGAGTCGATTTAATCGGTTTCTGTTGCATTACGAATTTTAGACGTTTAGAGATGCACGCAATATCTTGTTAAAATTAAATGCTGATTTTGATGTCGCAAATCTTTAAAGGTCCTTAGGTTGTAAGACTTTATCTTCTATGCTATCATACAAAGTGTCTAGATCTCCAAGTCTAGCCAGGCGACTTCTCACACACGTATTAAAAATAACAATAACAGATGAAGGGTGTAAAAAGCCCCCCCCCTTTTTTTTTTTACTTAGCGCAAGTCTTTAACAAAAAGGCACGGACTTCGTACTTACAAAAACACCGACTACTTGCCGTGAGAACTTAAGGTAAATTTAACAATAAATTCGAAATATAAGAAGTAGTGTTATACTTTACAATTTAATTTAACCTAACAGGCTGACTCAGCAACCTACACCGGCGATAGACTAACTAAACGGTTAGAATGCGTAGCCACTACTAAGTTAACAGCTGGAGGACAAAATAGTAATGGGCGAAAGACAGAGCGCGACTAGCGAAATCGCGCTCTGTCTAACCTTTTCGCTTCGTCTGTTTAAATACTCTTTTCACTTAATTGCATCCTGGTGAGGACAGGCGAGGGGAAATTAGAAGTTCAGAAAAGGTGCCAAAATAAAAATAAGCGGTTATTCAAACTAAGGGCATCATTAATTATGAAATTCGATAATTATAAAAGTTTTATAAAATTTACAAAAATCAAAAAGGAAAGGAAATAAAAATTTGTTACCTATATGCAGAGCCAGGACAAGGGTGAGGCACTTGCCTCAGGTGAACAAATTAGAAAGGTAATCAAATTAGCTTATAAAAATTCAGAAAATTATTTAAAAAAAGAACTTTTGATTTTTAATTTTTAATTTCCGAATACATCAAATAATATCAAAACAGTTTGTGTTACAAGCAATCCGGGGGGGGAGTAAAATAAATAGGGTTTATTTATTCTCAAGAGAAATCAGTTTTCCCACTGGTGACATATTATTATCTAACATTAAAATTTATTACTGACTGTAGCCCCTTTTATGAAGCTAATTTATACTTTGTGTAATAATTTGCATTGACCAGCGGTTCCTAACCATTTGTCTAATGCGTACCATCTGCAGAAAAACTGAAAAACTTTAGTACCACCACTATATTTTCCAGTGATTATTTTTCAGTTTCTCAATAGAACTATTTTAAAAATATATATTTTGTCATTTGCACAACCTATTGGCTATTTGTATTAAATATACACAAGTAAAAAAATATTACATTAAAAATTGGTTACGATTTCAATTATTAAAGTTATAATACTTTAATTCTAAAATTTAGCGTGAAATTTGGGCCTGGTTAAGAGAGATCAATTTCTTTATGTCTGGTCTTATTTCACTTAGTTTTAACTGTAAATTAGGATTTATTTTTCAAATATAACATGGAAGAAAATCCTTGTTCACATAAATAGGTTGTGCAAAAAGGCAATAAAAGTTCAATAGGTTTTTTTTTTAAATGCTTTTACATTCTTTTTTTTGGCTCAGTAAAAAAAAAAAAAAAAAAAAGTGTTTTTTTTTTTTTTTTCGAAATCTTCAGTTAGAGTTCGATTAAAGGAATTTCTTTATCAGTTCTTCAGGAACATTTAAACATAGTAGATTTCTAATCCAATTTGCTTTTTCATAATCCATGGGAAAATACACGTTCAAATTATTTATCAATGAAAAACAACGATTTTTAATATCGGATGCTAATTGTTTTATTTTCAAATTATTTTCGGTTAGAAAAACTTTCTAAAAGTGGTAAAAAGGTTAAAAATATTATTATCCAGTTCCCTGATTATTCGTTCGAGTTTATTTATTGAGCTCGAGGTTTTTTTTTTTTTTTCCATCATTGCATTTACTTTGTATTCAATGGTAGACAAATTAACACTTTGTCCCTGTAATACTAAATTCAATTAATTTAACTTTCCAAAAATATCAGTTAAATATGCGAAATGCGCCAACCATAATTAACTGTATAAATATTTTTGAAATTTAAATTTTGAATTGCAGAGGAAAATTTGAATTTCTCATCGATATTTATATATCGATATTTAAGACGATTTAAAACTTAGTGTCTGGATAACCACCTTACTTCCGGAATGTAACAAAAGCGTTTTGTGTTCATTGCCCATCTCTTAGCATGAAATCATAAATATTCTTGAATTTAAAGCTCGGCTTTTAATAAAATTAACAATTTTCACAATTTGATTCAAAATGATTTTTCAGGTTTTCGAGGATTGTTTTTTGCTACTAAAGCTTCACGATGAATAGAGCAGTAAGTAAATTTAGTTTCAGGTGCGACTCAAAGCCCGAGCTCCGTCGCTGCGTAAGGCACTTATTCCAAGGAATATCATTCTCAGACATAAAATTGTCAATTATTTTAAAAATTTCGTTTGCAATTGCTCTATCATGAAGAAATTCGCAAAATAAATACTCTTTCTTTCTTTTATTAAAATTTTTTAAAAAATTCTTTTATCTTCTTCAAAACGCATGTAAACTAATATTTCAACAAAGTTCGTTATATCTGTACTTTCATCTAATTGCAATGCGAATACTCGCTCGACTTAGTGTATCATTTGATAACGGAATGTTATTATGTTCATTAGTCTATTTTTCATTGAATATTGTGAAACGATAGTATTAGGTACTGGTAATATAATGTTTTATCCAATAGTGTGAGCCTGCCCTGTCTTGGCAATTCTTAGGTTACTAGGTTTCAAAGCTTTTTCACTTGAAGTAACAAAACCTTTCATTACTTGTTTACTATTTTTCAACTCCGATAATTGCCTTTTAAAATATTCTTCAGATTTATCATTTAAATTTGCATGATTAGATTTAAGATGGTTTTTTAATAAACGATGTTTCATACTTTCATTGGATAATAGTTCACCGCAAACAAAACACTGAGGTTGAGGATTCATTTCATTTCTATTCCAAGTAAATCCAAATGATAAATAACTTTCATTATATTTTATATAAACATGTTTTTTTTCTCTTTTCAATATTCTTAGTGCTAGGAGATTGTTCTGGATCCATTACCTTCGATTTATCAATTTTCCTCTTAGTCAATCCCAGCCATGTTTCTATTTTAAAAATCTAGGTTTGTTTTATTATTTTTACACAAATATTTAAATACGCAACATATTACGAATTCTTGAAAAACAAACTACGATATTCTCAAATCGCGTAGAAAACTTAGGAATACAAACCAAGAAGAAGACAAAATACTCGAGGTAAAAAAAATTATTCTAATTGAAAATACAGCAATATGAGCCCGGATATGGTAGCGACATAAAGTGTAGACATGCTAATAAATGGATCAACTCTAAAAGAATTAATGAGATACTATTATCTTTTTATAGGAACTAACTTTTCTCCTATTAAATACAACATCCATTTCTATTACTCCTTTTAAAACCATCATTTATGACAAATTTTGTTATGTCTATGGCTAAAAGAATATTTGTGAAATAAAAACGGATTATTTTGCTGAAGTCTATTGACCTTAAACAAAGCATAAATTCTAGGAGTGCTAAAGAAAAATTTTAAACAGGATGTTAGAGTATTTAAATTTTTAATTTAATATCTAAAAATACTTTGTTTCTTTACGTACCATGTATTTTCTCTTGAGTACCACTGGTGGTACGCGTACCACCGGTTGAGACTCGCTTGTGTAGACCAAACTTCCACAGAAAAAAACATATCGCCGAGTAGTGTAGTTTTCTGTTGTCTCTCACAAATTTGAATTAGCATTTTGTGCTCCTATTTCGTCATAACAAGTTTTTTAAAGCGCACTAACTAAGCATAATGTATGAAAGCTTTTTAGAAAAGCATTAAAAAATAAACAAGTGTGACTGAAAAATGAATCCCACCACTTTATTAGCATTGTTCCACCCTTTTTTTTTAAATAAAATTTTCCAACGAACGAGGCTCGTGGATCCAGGTTTCTGGTCTTGTTTTATATTCAGTTTGCGCGGAAACGGTACAGATATTTTCCTTTTTAGTTATTTCTGAAGTTATTATTTTTTTAGTCATTTCTTTAGTCATTCTGACCCATAATGTTAAATACTAATGTTAAAGGATTAAACAAATTAGCCCATTAGTTTGTCTCATTCTTTGTTGATTGGCGTGTAAATATATAATTTTTATTATATATAATATAAATACATAGATAGATAGGTAGACGTAATTTTTTTGAATTATTGTGTTGTTTATAGTGAAATAGTAGAATACTTTTTTTTTAGTTTTAAAGGAATAAAAAGAAGGTTTGAAATTTTAACTATTTTTATAAAGATTTAAGATAAACGTTTCTGGCTAAATATAATATAATTAATTGTTTTTGATGTAGAAGAATATCTTTTAAAAAGATTAGTTTGGTTGATTCCAAGGTTATCGATATATATAT